GTTCCCCACGTTTTTTGTCGAATCTGTATTCGTTGCTACTTGGGCTAACACTGAATTGACTTCATCCATATCGTAGACATGCTGTTTATTATCTGATTCGCTTCCAACTAGGTTTCTGCCCTGCGTTATGGATGTGTGACCATCGGTTACACCTTCGATAGCTTCATCGGGTTGGCCTTCTGTTCGTGTCCCAATCACCCCGCTGGAGGTACCTCCACCCTCCGTATTCAAATACTTGAGGAGCTTCAATATTTTAACCTGTAGAAATGGGTCGTTAATGCCGTACACGTCGTACTCGACGCCATGGGAGTAGCTCGACATGACGCAACTCTTTAAAATTTTGACAATTTTGTTGGTGTGCCCCTTGAGAACCTTCCTATACTGGGAATTCTTTTCTATTAGGGATATCATCAAACTTATGCCAGCACTTAACACTCCATGGTTTCTGTCCTCTAACAGATTGTTAATTTTTTCGACAAATAGATCTTCCATGTCGCTTGTCTTTTTTAGAATACGAATTGCACACATTGCTGCCTTCTTCTTAATGTAGGGATTATTTATATTCATCAAATCCAAAATTTCGTATCTTAAGGAGGAGCACATTTCGGTGTTTGCGATGTTGCCCAGGGCGCACAATGCTAATCCGTTAATGTATTGATTACTATTTTTTAAATCATTCTTTATAGAATTTGTCACTAACATTAGGATATCTGTGTTTTCGTCTAGCAGGATAGTCAACCCTAGATAGCCTATCCTTTTAAAGGAGAATTTACTCGAGGCAACTAATTTTAAGCATTCGATTTGACCAAAGTAGGTTGGGTACCCCAACATATTCATGAATAATAATTTGGCTACATTTCGGTGTCTATAAATATTGTCTTCTTCTTTGAAGGCTGTCCTGATGAGTGCACATTCCTTGGCCACGACGGACCTTTCCTCTGCTGCCGTTTTGCAATTCCGAATGTTTCGAATTAGTTCTCTTAGTTTTATTGACATGGTGAAGGGGGCAACTATGTCTAGGTAAGTCCCGAGAAGGGGGTGCTCTCACGGGAAAAAGGTTCGTCACTATCTTTTGCGAAAAGAAAAAAAAAAAAAAAGAAAGAAAAGAAAAACTTGGTCTTTTTTTTTTTTTTTTTTTTTTTTTTTGTCCCCTCTATTATGCAGGTTTATATATTACAGTGGAGCTGGGACGGGAGGGTCTCGTGCATGTAACGTACGCGTTGCTCCCTCCAGTGTGATAGTTCTTCGATTTGTTTCAAGCAAAAGGAGAAGCAATAATAATGCGAATCAAAGTGGACTGATGTGTTAGCACAACACTGTTGTAAGCACGGGTGGTTCTACCTTCCTGAAGCGATGAAACCCGCGTTTGCGCGAATACACGTGTGCCGCCCTTCCGGTATACCCGCATAACTCTGCAGGTGCTTACCAACCCGTATGCAAATGCATTACTGCAATAAATGCGTAGTATCTTCTTGCCGTGCTAGCAAGCCATTTCTAGGTAGCAAAATGGGTGGGGGAACAGGCATAATTACAAATTGGTTTGCTTCTGGTGCTTTGAGCTTACAAATGACAGTGCACGCACATGCTGGTGGCTGGTGGGCATATCGTGCTGTGTAATGTTATGTTACCTACGTATGCATAAGCATGTATGTACATACGAGCATGTGATTGTGTGGTCATGTACGGATGCACTTATGCATTTGCTTACCTCGCTTGGCTTTTCTGGCGCCCTCCTTCCATGATCAACTGGCTTGAGTATTTTCAAATATACGCCAGGCTTCAAAAAAGAAGGCAAAAGAAAGGTAAAAAAAAAAAAAAGTACAAAAGGGGGAGCGCATAAAACTAGTGTGATATGCGCATTTATAGGCTGATGAGCGGCTCTAGGAACAAAAAAGGAAAAACAAAATAAAATAAAGTTAACATATTGCAATTCCAGGCAAAGAAATGGAAGAAGAAAAAAAAAAGAATCATGTAATGCTCTTTTTGTTTCTTTGTTTTTTTTTTTTTTTACCAACTTAGTAAGGTAATACGCGTACATATTTTCGTATTTTTTTTTTTTTCCACCCAGTTAGGATATATTCGAACGGTATTTCAGGGGGCACCATTTGGAACGTGTTTGAAGAGCCGCTACACATATTTGTGTAATCACAATGCAATTGCTTTATATGCAGCCGGGGGGGAGGGCTGCAAATGCAAGGCAGCACATGTAGAACTTATTTACCCCCCACCAAGGGGAATAACAACAAAAATGATCCTAGTGATCCCCCACCGTATGTGTGTTTAAATTTTTAATTCATGTAAAAAAGCTTTATCGGTCATCAAAGGGATTAACTCTTTGGAGCAATATGAACACGCTTGTGTATATAAGGAGCTGCCTTTTTTTTCTTTTTTTTCATTCTTGAAGATTTTTCTCATTCGTCGGGAAAAAGTTACCCCATTTTTGTGGGCCAAAAAAATATAAGCCTAGGGGCCACCCGTTCGCTGCACACCTATTTGCTGCAATTTTGTAGTGACCTTTGGAAGAAGTAGCACCTACGCTTATAAATTTGCATCCAGTATGTACCCCCCAATCATACACACAAAACTGAATCGTACAGTTGTTATGTCGAAGGAGAGTTTTACCTCCGTATGCCCCTCCCATTGTGCTTAAGAAAAAAATTCTGCCTTTTTTCAATCTGTTTAAATGTGCTTGCATAGAACAAGAACTACGCCCATTCGGAGCGGGTGGGGGGTGGAAGCACCTATCCCATTTTACAAAGCTGCGAACGGCACGTTGTCGTGTCGTTATCGTAACGTTGTCGTAGCCTTGTGATGCATGCAGCTAAACACCCTCGATGCGGCCACCCTCGGTCAAAATTTTTGCATATGAGAAGAGAATCATAATATGTGCAGAATTGAGTAAAGCGCACGGGTGATGTACCTCACAAAAGGGGTATGTGATTGATCTCCTCAAGGAGGTAAAAAAAGGATTGACAAGGCTGCTTGACAAAACGGCTAGCCACTGGTTAAAAGCCCCCTGTCGTGATAGTGCACAAAATGGCATTCTTGGAGGCTCTGCTTATAGCGAAAACCGCCCATACGTTTGCAGAACCACGCCTGGGGAGAATAAGGCCCATATGTATAGGTCGTATATATACAACTAACGAACTGGTTTATATTCTCCATATATTTATGTAAGCCTTGGGAGGTAACTAATCAGGTGGCCGATAGAACGGGGTGATCTCATGTATACATAGGCATGATGTGCACACAGGGTAGCTCCCCCTTTTTCGGTATTTTGCCCATATGCCAATATATATCCTCACTTACACCCGCACAGGGCTGATCGGTTGCAGTTATTTACGTGATATGTTTGCGCTCCGCTTCCCCACTTCACAGGTACACAAATGAGATGGCACAGGGGAGAAGTCATAATGGGTACTCTCCCTCCTCAACTTAGCTTCGCACAGTAGAAATTATCTTATCACGCTCTTTCTCTATCTGCTTTTTTCCTAACCTTTGCTGAACATTTTTTTTTTCGCTCCCCGTTTGGAGTATCTTTCCCCATCCAGTTATTCATACATACAAAGGGGGGAAAAAAAAAAAATAAAAAAAAGGAAAAAGGGAAAATCATTTTGCTTCCACACTGTATGAACTGCCCGGTTATTTATGTCCCTCGGGGGGAATTCACTAAATACGGCGCATTGTGAAAAGCACATCGCCTGTAGAGGCGATAAAATAGTGTGTATGCATCCTACTAGCTTTTCCATTTTTTTTTTTTTTTTCCATCCTACTAGCTCTTCCATTTTTTTTTTTCCATCCTACTAGCTCTTCCGTTTTTTTTTCTTTTTGCATTCTACATGTTAGGCTATGATTACGATATGACATAATATTTTGTTTTGCTATTTTTTTCGCAATCTTTTTTTGCTATAGATTTTTTTTCTATGGCTTTGTGTTTTATTTTGTTTTTATTGGTCACATGTGATTGGCTTACGAACGAGCGAACCCTTTGCGTCTAAAGCATGTGACCTGTATGTACGGATGGCGTAAAAAATATATATATATATACAGAACTGTGAGCGGTGCTTTTTTCCTTTGGATTCTCAGCAGATGCAACGTCAAAGCTGATGAGTTTTTGGCTGAAAGGGTCCCTCCTATGTAGGTAGTGGGAAAATGTGGGGGGGATTTCATCCAGAGCGAAATGGGCACGCTTGCAGCGTCGCGGGGTGAAAGTGTAGAGTTCGGAAGCTGTGAAGTGACTAGGTCGTAGGGCTGCTAAGAGGCAAACAGAAAAGTTAAATGTGAATTGTGAAACGGAAAAAGTGTAATAGGAAATGTAAAAATTCCAAACAGCAAACCACCAACGGCGAAACAGAAAAGTGCAAAAAAGGTGCTCGTCGCTTCTGCGCGAAAAGCGAAACGTACCAGCAACCGCGAAGGAAAATTACACGGCGTAAGTTGACAAAGAAAAAAAAAGGAAAAAAAAACAATCGATGAAATTAATATTGCAAAAAAAAAAAAATTAAAATTTGAACGCACAAAAAAACAAGATAGAAAAAGAAAAAAAAGAAACAATCAATTAAATTTATGTTCCGAAAAAAAAATTCAAAATTCAACGCACAAGGGAAACAAGATAGGAAAAAAAAAAAAGAAAAGAAAAACAATCAAATAAAATTAATGTTGCGAAAGAAGAATTAAAAATTCAATGCACCAAAGAACAAGATTGGAAAAAAAAAAAAAGAAACGAACGTAATGATATATGACTATATAACAGTCTTTCTCTCCATTGGGTGAACAGCGGCAAGATAAGAAGCTACAAGCAAGGAAAAAGAATGTAAATATAAGAGTACGCACAAAAGTCAGCCCAAAGGTCAACGCAAAGGTTAGCGAAGAAGTCACCACAAAGGTTAGCGAAGAAGTCACTACAAAGGTCAGCGGAGGAATACACGCGACATATACATATCTAGCCCCAGCGCACAATGCAGACTTAACCACGCCTGGTACAGGAAGGAAAAAACAAAATGGATGCCGTAAGCAACTCTGTGACTGTAAATTCCTATAAAAAGGCCCTAAATTATTTGAAAGAGAAGTACCAGAATATAGACATCTTTGATGTGAGTGGAACGACAAACATTAATGATGAGACAATAACGGAATTTATAAAATCGAGCATTTTATCCCCAAATGACAAACAGATAGTAGAAATGTTTAATGAAAAAAAAATAAATAAATTGATGTTAATTAATTATATGGAAAATAAAGTAAAAACAGTTCTTCAAGGAAAGATCCATTTATTGTTAGTACTTGCTTCCCCGATTTGGATTACCTACATGTTACGCCTATCGAAGACGTTATGGGCAAAAGTTTTTACCTCCATTGCAGCTTTATGTATGTTTTTTAATTTTTTTGCTTCCTTCTTACTTCACAATTTCGACTGGAAACCTGAGTTATTTTTCTTGATTGAGAAGATAGATCACATTGGCATTTTTTTAATGATTAGTGGATCCTGTTTACCACTCCCCGCATTGCTTTTTAACAAGCTAAAATTTGTATCTTATATTATACTACAAGGGTTGACGTCTCTCCTTGGGTGCTTATTCATATGCTTCAGCCGCTTCAGTACGGGCAATAGGATTACGCGGGCCCTCACCTATGTCATAGCTGGGTTTTTGCACGCCCTATTTTTGAAGGACTATATAATGGGCCTCATTCCCAAGGAGATCATCTTTTTCTTTTTCCTGGCAGGGATTTACTGTCTGGGGGCCCTCATCTATTCCATGAAGAAGCCCAACCCCATTAAGGGTAGCAGCATATGAGAGCTGTTCTGCTGTCCTCACAAATGAGTGTCAACATATGCACTTCTGCTGCATCCCGAAACGCACGTCAACACGAGCACTTCTTTTCCACCCCCCTCTCTCACCTTTTTCGTAGGCGTTCTCGGATTCCACGACCTTTTTCACATTTGCTGCCTTGCAAGTGGTCTATTTACAATGGCCTTAAATTGCAGTGTCATCACGAGGTATACATGAAGAAGAAAAAAAAAAGGCGAGGAACTTGTTTTGCACGATCTGTATAGCGCGTTATCGCCAGTACACACCGGATATATAACTGTTAACATCGCACTGAGTCTCTACCCCCTTACCGTTTCCCCCCCGTGTGCATTTTTTTTTTCTTTAATGTAAGAGGGACACATTAAAACCTTTTAACGCATGCATTTTCGTTTACAAATGTGAGAGACATTTCTTTTTTTTTTTAAATCGATCGTAAAAAAAAAGAAGGAAAAAAAAAAATCTCCATTAACACCCTGATAAAATGGTCCATCCAGTGTGTACCCTAGTGCATTTTTTTTTTATTGTTGTCGGCACCACCGTTCTGCTTTTACATGTTCCTTTTTAAACAATGTGTGTTGAAAAATTAAATAGCCACGTACAGTGGCGCAAGTTTTGAGTCATGTGTTGTGTGAGTAGAAAGTGTTGCATACTTAGAGAGGCGAATCGCCTGTGGTATGTTGCTTTTTCTCATTCTGCACCTTACTTTTTGAGTTTTACGTCACATTTCAACGTCGCATGGGTGTCATTCCCTTAGGTGAAGGGTACCCTTTTTTTTTTTTTTTTTTTAAAACATTCCTGCATTTTTTACAATCCGCATCATTTCACTGATCGATCTGCAGAGAAAATTCGCATAAAGCGATACACTCGTTGCGTACCCCATTTCCAAATCGAGGTCTCCATACCACTGCATGTAAATATGGTGTGCACATTTTAACGCCGCATTTCAATATGTGGACCACCTTTTGGTGACACATCTCGCCATCTAACCTCTAGTATAAAATAACCTCACCCAAACTGCACTTGGGAGTTATTTTTCCACATGGTTCCACACGCCTGCAATGTTGTTCTTGACTGAGCACGGGTGGTATATATTACCCCTCGAAATTGATGCATACAATACACGGCTTCGTATACCCAATGGCATGGATCAAGTCATTTTTTAAAAGATCTCTGATTAAAATGCGGCAGATGAAAAAATTTCCTTATAGTGTATACACTTCGCCATGAGTATAAGAAAGAATTGACAAACGGGGACAAGATACAAACAAGAGGGAATAAAAAAAAAATGATCATAGTGGAAGTTAGGCGTTGTAGCAAGAACACACTGGTGGGCAATGGAGGAGACAAATAAACACACCTCCGAAATAGTTCGAAAAAGCACTGCACACGTGCATATGCAGCTAAGCTGACACATAGGTAAATCCTCACGGATGTACACAAACCGACCACCACCAGTGCTTCCCGTTTAGTTATGCCCCCTGAAGTTCTGACCGTGCATAGGGCGAGTCACTATGTGGACCTTTTTTGGAAGAGGCGGCATCATCCCGTGGGATTGGGGATTTACATAACTGTTCCTCCTCATGTTAGGTGCTTGAACCGGTTTATTACTCGAGACTCCGCAACCGACAGGTCCACAAGAAGGTAGAAATTCACTGGAGGCCGATGATGTCTGATGCTGCAAGGGGAAATTATTTACATTAACAGGTTGGCCTAAATTATTATTGTATCTTATAACTGGTTGTCCTCCTTGCACTAAGTTGTTATTACGAACAAAGGATGATCTTCTCGGTGCTACTTGTGGAACCATCTGTTCCTGCATGATTGGATTTGTTTGCATATAGCTTTGGTGAACATACTGAGGAGGTGCTGCATTTCCATATCGGGGTTCAGCCACTTGCTGAGCGCAGATTTTTTCGTACGTCATGGCTGGTTGGGCACTGCTATACGCTTGGTAATTTTGCACTCCTCCTGTTAGGTGAACTTGTGGCTGGGGGGAGCTTGCCTGCATATGTTGCGCGGATATTGCTTGCACGTGCTGCTGCGGTGCCATTTGCAGGGGTTGGTTCAGCAATATTCCTCCACCACCGCACTGATCAGGCTGAGCTCCCATCACCTGTACGTAACTTGGCTGCACGCACTGGAAAACATTCGGCTCATACGAATTGTACGTAGGGCTAGGTGGGGAAGACTGCTGTGCCTGCACTATATTGCCCATGGGACTCATTGCATAGATGGGACCCTGCTGTGTCTGAAATCCCCCTTGGAGTTGCCCATTCTCATTCATCATATACACATTTGGAATAATTTGTTGCGAAATGGGCCCTACTAGCGAATTATCTAGCTGGATCACATTGCTTGTAGGCATTAACCCTGCGGAGGTAGCATTTACACTTGTCCTAACAAAGCAACTTCGGTTATCCCCTATGGGTTCATTTTTGAGATTAACTGTACCGGGATATTTTATCGACTCTGTTATTGTTGTAGATGCATTTTCCATGGGGGCACCTAGCTGGATAGGGGTAGAATCCATATCAATTGGGTTCTGTATCACTGCTGGATCATTTTTAATGATGATATTTGGCCTTGTACTATTTACATATATAGGTTGAGGGGGTTTATTTTTAAAAATGATGTTAGCTGGTGGGGGGTTTATCACTAAGGGGGGACGAGGTTCATTTGTTACTACCACTGTTGGTGGCTGCCTAATGTACAGCTGTGGAATTATTTGTTGATTCTTCAAAACAACTGGAGGAGATGGATCCACATAATTTGGGTTCAGCACATTCATTGCATTATTCGTTTTTTCCTGCGCGTTGATAATTAATGGGTATGTAGTAGCATTATTCCCATTTGTATAAACAACTCCATTATTTAATGTCACTACAGGTTCTTTGTTCATACAGTTTGTATTCGTGTAAGCATAATCTGATTTCTTTTCATTCTTAACAATGACGTTCGCGTTAGCTATGGTAGTTTCTCCGCCTTGGACATATTTTTCTCCCTTTTTTTTTTTACCCGTATGTGTATATGCAGAAGGAGAACTCGAAATATGTATAGTGCTTGCCCTGTTTCCATAGGATTTTCTAAGCTTCTCGTCGCACAGTGTATCGTCATCATCATTATTATCTTCCTTTTCATTTTTTGTTATAAACTCCACCCATCCTTCGAATTCTATTTCATCTTCGTCGCTGCAGGTGTCGTTGTTTATAGAACCTTTCGCCCTTGGTTTGTAGTATGTGTCATCTCCGCTGGAAACCTTGTGTCTCCTGAGGGAGCTTCTTCTGATTTTCTCTACCTCCATTGTTCTGCTGTGTGGGTATGTGTCTAATCGTGCGCTTGTAGGTGCGTCGTTTTACGTTTATTGTTTGTGCGTGTGTGGCTGTAAAGGCTATCCAATGAGAAGGATGTCCGCCTACGCGTCTTACCACCGCTTACGCTATCACCCTCAGCATACGCCAATGTAAAGGGGCGTATATTGCTCCCGATGCGGCCTGCACGTGTGCTTTTATTTACACAATAGCGAAGTGGCTAAACGGCGAAATGGCCAAATCGTGGAAGAAAAAATGTATGATGAGCACTAAAACAGATGGGGCAGCATTCAACGACGTATTTAATTTTGGGGTCTATCTTCGGGGTCACTTCTCTAACGTGGCAGCAGAGATAATCGTCTACAGAAAGGTGAAAAAAAAAAAATAATATGTGCACAAATGGCCCACTTTAACATGAACCTTTCTGCAGTCTGCATGGTTCATACGTTGTTAGGAATTTGAGGTCATATCTCGTTACTCCAAATTACGCGCCAATTTGTGTGAAAACGCAGCGCAGGGGTAGAAAAGTGCATATTTCATTTTGCATAGAAATGCGAAAAGCACTACTTCCTATGTTGAGTCCCTCCTTTGAAATTGCAACTAACCATGAGCAGCACCAAAACGTGCGGGAATAACTCAGCAAACTAGACTTCTTCTATTGCTTCAGCTACAACTTTCCTTTTTGAGACATAAATATTTATATATATATACTTGGTAAAGAGCAACTAATTCCGAAAAAAAAAAAAAAAGAAAAAAAGGTCAAATGTTTCTTTTAAATTTAGAAAAAATATTTCTAAAAAATAATTTTAAGAATCAGCGAGAAGTTGCAGAACAAGATTATATTCTACGCAGCTGCTCACTTGGTGGCTGTAGAATGTGAGGGAAAGAAATAGCAAAAACGAATAAGCAGATGAAAACAGAGGGGGCAAAAAGCAACAATCAATCAAATCCTCAAAGAAATAAATATTAAACAAGCGAGATAAAAATGAGACGATCGAACAAGCGATCTAAAAATGAACCAATCATACGAGCGAGCTAAAAAGAAACCAATCATACGAGCGAGCTAAAAAGAAACCAATCATACGAGCGAGCTAAAAAGAAACCAATCATACGAGCGAGCTAAAACTAATCCGATCAAACAAGTCAGCTAAAAATAAAACGATC